TTAGATCTGTGTGCAGGACCTGGGTTTATCCAGGAAAGCTGATCTTTTTCCCCCCAGTGCTGCTGCAAAAAATGTACATTGGGAGCAAATGACATTTTCCTCAATTAAAAACTGCACAGTTTGTCCTTATTTGTCCTTTGTTTCTCCTTCCATTACAACTCTAAAGATGGAGTTGCATAAGGTTTAAAATCCACTAACATGCTACCCATTCACAGTGTCTTCAGGTCAGAGCGGTTGAAACAGAGGCTTGAACAGAAGTTGTTCTGTGCAGTACTCTGATTTCTTCTTCTAACTCTTTAAGATAGGAATTATCTATTACTAGGAAAAAGCCATTTGTTTTACAAATATGTGATTGAAATATCTTGCAATACACAAAGCTCTCCAACAAGTGGCACTATTAAGACTACTGAAGTTAAAAGATTGATATGCAAATGAGATCTCAGAAAGGGATATTGGGACATGTTTTACAATATTGCATTCTATTTTAAATCTTTTAAAAACACATACAAAATGTGATTGAAATAGATATTCATAATTCAGATATTCTGGAAAGTTTTGTGTTATCCATAAAGAAAATACTGAAAAGTAGGTCAAGGGCTACAAGCTCAACCAGACAGTCCTCTCTAAAGGGATGAAGTCATGGAGCTGTGGGGAAACTGTCTAATTAAGACATTAGTAAAGGTAATATGTAGCCAGGAAATCTGTCCATAGGGTTATGCTAAAGCCAGTTCTTCAATCTACTGAGGTAGCCTTTTCTTGAGGATGTTGCAGCACGCAGGGTGAATTACCCTTGAAACATGCATGGGATAACTTCTAGATTGCATGTCTTCACATTTACTCTCATCTGATTTTGTTGCTGTTGCTTGACAAATGGTTGATCATTTTGAGAGACTATATATGACATCTCTTTTTAAAAAATTGCGTTTGCCTGGAATATATGTTTGGCTGTATTTCAAGAAAAATGATCCAGAAATAGTTACATATACAAAAACTGAGGTGTGAAATAGTTGCTTGCAATGGAAACAGGATCAGACTGGATTTCTGTTACTGGAACATAAGCAGTTTGGAAATGAATTAGAAAGCCAATGTACTAAAATATAACATATATAATATAAATATAGTATTTTCAAATGGTAGGTTTCTGCCGGTTAGTGCAATATTCCTTCCGTCTTTTCAAATCTTCTGTCAGTTTTCCCCCAGATTTCTAGTGTAAGACCAACAGATAAAATGTCCCTTAATAAAATCATGATCTGAATGATACATGGGAATCTGAATTCTGTCTTCCATTGAGAGTGGAATTCCTACCTACCCTGACAGCAAAATTATTAACGGCATTTAGGTACCAAAAGCTGCATATAGGTCCTCAGTGAGATTCTGAAAGGCCTATGTTCCCGGTCCCTACCTGGCTCTAGATTGTTTCACTCTGTGCTGATTTCCATCCTGCTCAAGAGTGATCTTTTTCACACCAAAGTCATTGGAAATTTGATCATGGCGTAAAAAGAATTATAAAATCTAAAAGGGACAAGTGTTCATTTGACACTTACTTTAAGTCAAATAGTAACATCCGATTTAAAATATGGGCTAGTGAGATAAATGGTAATTATTGGACTTTCCAGAAATGTGTGCTATGGCAGAGGTTTATATATTTTTTTGTTAAGTTTTGTATTTGACCAGCTTTGATTCACTTGCGGCTGTATCTCCTGCACTGTGTTGTAAATAACAGAATGTGTGCACTTTGAATGCAGTGGCACAATAGGCATGTAGAGCACTAACTAAAGCATTACAAACGCTGCATGCCTTTTATTTTTATCTCTCAGTCCTTCTGAATATAGTGTTTTTATCTCTTGTCCCAACAGAAAATTATTTTTGTGTCTCTAGGACAAGCAAGGCACCAAGGAGAGTCAGCCTTGCCAGCTTTTAAACACAAGACAAGTCCCCTTACACACGGTAGGACTTCTAATGTGCTTAATGCTACACGTGTCTGAGAAACCAGAACCTAAACGGCACTTGTGAGCAAGGCTTTATATAATCACTACCTGGAAAGGGAAACTTAAGTTTATGAGTCAGATTCTCCAGTGGAGTGCTATTATGCAGCCACATGTAGCTACGAAAAGTAGGTGTAAAATGATACTAAATGAGAACGCTTTTCACTTTACACGAGCGTACAACCATGCAAAATGCAAGCCAGGGGAGAACTAAGCCTTTGAAAAGTGACAATATATCTGACATTAGATATGAAAAGTTGATTCTGTGTTGATACACAGTATTTGAATAGCTTTCTGTAGTTAACTAGACTTTGGAAAGGCAGGTAGCCCAATGCAACAGCTGTAATTCAGAAGACAGCAGTGAAACAACTTAATTGAAATTGCTCCTCATTGGAAGAAAATCTGAAAAACACTGTGCATCATCTGTCTGTAGCGAAAGGGGGGGGGAAGAGAATGAAAATATGCAATAAAAACTGACATAACCACAGAAAAAAACAACAAACATAAACATTAATTACTAAACATGCTTTTGTTAGCAGTAGGTCACCATCATTCTTTATTGACATTTACTGCCACGGCAGTTTCTTTTTCAAGACCACTGACCCAAGAAAATGCAGCCCTCTAGTTATCCAACGCCCTTTAATTAGAGATGTCTCCAGAGATAATCTCACTCATAGCCCCCATTGTGAATCATTTATTTTCTAACTTTCCATTTTATCAGCACTCTTTCATCTTTCTGTTTTTCTGTCCTAGCCTGGCTGAATAACCCAGGCTTATACAATTCAGTTGATTCATGGTTTACCAACTCTCACGACTGCATGTCATGTCTCATGACATTTGGGGTCTTTCTCAAAAGCCCTGGCTGCTGGAATCAGGATAATCTGTAGGAACCACCAGCTTTTCGCTTCCGAAGATGAGCTACGGCGCCAGCCCTTGGGGCTTGAAACCACGCACCTTACACCCTCTGAGGCAAGGCACAGAACAAATAACGATCCCGTGCTGGGAAGTGTGACAGAGGGCTTGTTTTTGTTTTTAATCTCGGGAGCACTTATCTCTTCTTGGGATGTTTGGCAGGGCTGACTCATGATTGTTGGACGCTCGCGGTTGGCAATGTAAGTAGGATGAGGTTTCTCCGGGGGCGGAGCACGTAAAATATCATCAGGATCAGCACGGAGACTCCAGTGTCACAGCAGAGGATGACCGAGGGGGTATTTTTTGCCCCGTCTGTCAAATCCTGCCGGCCGCAGCGCCGGCACCGCGGCCCGAGCTCTCCCCGCTCCCTGCCACAGGCCCGAGGCCCGGCTCCCCCCCGCCCGGGCCCCC